AGGCAGCGGTGTGAGGCACATCCCAGAGGGGCTGAGAAGCAAGGGGCCAGGGTGACCTCCATTCTCTGTGACTTAGAATTAATCATATGCAAATGAGATATAAAAATAATATGCCACTCTTCGGGTATTATTCTTGAGTTAGAAGCATAGGCGATTGGGTCCAAGGAACAAATTCAAGACCTTGTTTGACATAACTCCAGTTGAACTTTGGGTCTTTCTACTTGGACTGACAAAGTTTTATCACAAGGTGCCTATTAATGTACCATAGGTCTAAGCACACTATTTTTTAAAAAAGATTTTTTATTGATTTTTTTTAGAGAGAGAGGAAGAGAGAGAAACATCGATTGCTGCCTCTTGCAGGCCCCCTACTGGGAATCGAACTGGCAACCTTTGGGTGCATGGGCCGATGCCCAACCAGCTGCGCCCCCCTGGCCAGGGCCTGACTACTTTGAGCACACAATTTCTTTTCACATCATTGTCTGGTGCTTGCCACAGTGCTGGGCATGCAAGAGAGGCTACAGTCAGTCTCTGGAAGGTGAATTTTGGAGGATGGTGTGAGGCCTTTGCCCTCTTTCTGGGAGGTGGGGAGAGTCTACAGTCGAGAATATTGCATCCCTTCCCCCAAGCAAGAAACAGTCTCATGGACAGAATCTAAACTGGGGAGCTAGGCAGACCTGAGGAAGAATCTTAGGTCTATAACTTACTGTGTGACCTTAGACAAATTTCTTAGCCTTTCTGGGCCCCAGTGTCCTTGTGTTTCAAAGCCCACTTCATATATAGCTGTGACAATTCAATAAGAAGAGAATAGGAGACAGCAGGGAGAGGAAGACCACATACCAGACGAACTGACTCCATAAAAGAAACTATAAGCATGAGTCTACAGGAGCTGGGCAGGGCTGTTGAGAACAGGACCCTGTGGACATCACTCATTCACAGGGTCACCAGGAGTTAGAGCTGACTCAATTGCAGGAACACACAAACACACACACACACACACGCGCCCCAGCTCCTGGTAGGTCTTCAAGAAAAGTGCCGGTTGCTCTGGAGCTCCAGGGCACAGTCCGAAAAGGGCCAGCAGGTGGCGGAGTCGGCTAGGGTTTGGGCGGCTGCACCGCTAGCTCGTTGAGTCTGTAGTTAGGCATCACACCCGTGACCTTGCCGCCACTGAGTTGAACCCAGCTGGCTGGGTTGGCAGGTGGCAGCTGGAAGGGAGGCCCCAGGAAGCCCCGGAAGCCAACTTAGAGAAGCTGGGGAGCACTGGGGCACCTTTCTCTGTCCCTGGTGGTGGTGATGGGGCGACAGGAAGGGGGGAGCATTCCAAGTCCTGCCTTTGGGGAGGAGCGGGCAGGGGGCACTTTCAGCAGGGACAATGGTGGCACCAGGACAGGCACGCAATCATCTGAGACATTCATTCACGCACGCATTCATTCACCCATTATGCATCCCTTTGCTCATTCAATAATTTCCCATTGGGTGCTATTTTAAAACAAACCAACTTTATTGAGTTTGAATTTATATACAATAAAATGTACCAATTTTAAATACACATTTCTATGAGTTTTTAAAAAAATTATAACATATGACCACTGTCACAATACAGATATAGAACATTTTTATCACCCCCAAATATTCTCTTTTGCCCCATGCAAATCAAGCTCCCCTCTCCCCTCACTGGGTGTATCATTAGTTTTAGCACACTATTTTGAGATGTATCCTTCCCACCATCTGTCTTGGCATCATCATCTGCCTGCCATAGTGCCCAGAATACAGTAGGCACTACATGCTATAGAGGGGATGAATTGAGAAATGAATGAATGAATGAATACATAAGTCAAAGAAATTGATTACGAGTGACATATACGGAGCATTTACACTCTGCTGGGCACTGGGCTAGGTCCTTTATATATATATTACCTCATTTAATCATTAGTATCATTCCATTTTACAGATGAGGCAAATGAGGCTCAGAACCTGGGTTCAAACGCAGACAGTCCGACCCCAGAGCTCTCACTCTTTACTGCTGCCTTGAATACATTCAGGATGGGCAAGTGGAAGATCGCTTGCATGTACTGAACCGACCTTCTCTCTTGCTCAGCATTGGACCAGCTTTCTCTCTCACCCAGCCTAGTTTGGGCGGATCTGGGGTTGGAGGAAGGGTGGGGGGAGCAGAAATCAATGTGCCCAGGCTGCCCTCTGGTGGCACACATGAGTACAGAGGCATCTGTGCCCGCTAGCGCCCCCAGGTGGGGTGTTGTTGAGAAGAGCAACCAAGTCAGCAGCCCACAGCGAGGGCAGCCTCAACCGCGGGCACCTGGAGGCCCCCTGCTCTGGCCACTGCCTGGTGCCCCCCGAGGTGCCAGCTGAGGCTGCCCCCGAAGAATGCCAGCTGCCGGAGTCCGCTGCCTCCCACCCCCTCCGCCAGCCTCACACACACTCCAATCCCGGTCCAGTCGGCTGCTTCCATTCCCTGAAGAAGAGGCCCTAAAGTTAAAACAGCTGTTAATTTATAAACCAATTTTTCCGTGACTGCTTAATAAATCGCCAGCAGCTGCTCTGCCCCCTCCTCCTGCCCAGGCACCCGGCCCCGAGGGCTGCACGGAGAAGCTCAGAGCCGCAGCCTCCCCTCCTGCCTCCTTCCCCCAACTCCCCAACTTGCCCCCATTTTTCCAGAAAGTGGGTGGGTGTGGGGGAAACCCTGATGAACCCAGCTTCTTTGGGCTTCAGTAGAGTGGAGAAGTGAGGATGGGTTTTCTTACCTAGTGGGCTGCAGCCCAAAAGCCACCCCTCCCAATGCCCTACAACCCTCCATGCACTGGGACTCCCAGGCCCAAAAGGTGGGTGTCAAAGGTTTCCTTAGTTCTAGGGAGATGAGCGTGTACAGATTCCCTAGAGAAGTTTCCCTGAGCCACTGGGAGATAGAGGGACTCTGGGCTCATCCGTGAGAGCACTGGAATCTCAATTCCCATATCAGGGTGGTCCCCCTGACAGATGCTAACCAACTCTCTGACCCTGCTGTTCTCTCAAGGGTGGGCTGGGAGGGGGCAAGGAATGCTGGGGAGATGCCCACACACACCCATCCCCAAGATAATGAGGAGGAATTTGGGCCTCCTGAACATTCACTTTGCCAACTCCCACATATAGAACTCACCATGAAAATCCACGCAGGGTGGTGACCATTTGAATGGCAGGTTCTTTTTTTTTTTAAGATTTTTTTTTTTTGGTATAGAGAAAGGAAGGGATGAGAGAGAGAGAAACATCGATCTGCTGCCTCCCGAGCCCACAATGCGGGTATGTGCCCTGACCAGGAATCCAACCAGCAATCCTCAGTGCACAGGATGACACTCAGCCAACTGAGCCACACCAGCCAGGGCCACAGGCATGTTCTTTCTCTTTGCATCTGCAAATTCCAAAGGCACCCAGAGTGAAAGCCTGCTGGTACTGGGATCCTTGACTCCTCTGGGCAAGAGGTCAATCCTGCCATGCCCATGTAGCCACAAGGAGCTCCAAAGAAAAGGGGGAGCAGGATGGTAAAGCACACCAGGTCAGGAGTTCAAATCCCAGTCTCCCACTTCCTAGCTGTGTGACTTTGGGCAAGTAACTTAACCTCTCTTTCCTTCCTCTGTCTCCATTTATAAAACAGGAATAATAATTACAGAGTTGTGAAAATTAAACAAGTTTATGCATATACAGTGCCTGGCACATAGGAAGTGCTTACAAAGTGACAGAGTGCCCAGCCAGGTGTGGCTCAGCGGTTAAGCATCGACCTAGGATCAAGGAGATCAGGGTTCGATTCCCATTCAGGGCACATGCCCGGGTTGCGGGCTGCAGTCGATCAATGACTCTCTCATCATTGGTGTTTCTCTCTCTCCCTCTTCCTTCCTCTCTCTGAAATCAATAAAGATATATTTTAAAAAACAAACAAACAAGCAAAGTGACGGAGTATTAGCTTCTCATCCTCCTGCCAGATCTCCTGAGTCCCCCAAGTAGTAAATCTTAGGGTGGAGGTGCTCAGGAGATTTTCAGGGGGTAGGTAGGAGTGCTGGGGACAAAATTACCAAGAAAGCCAACCAGGATTCCTGAGTTATATGGTTCTAATTGGGCTTTCTCATTCTAGGCCATTCTTCCACCACCCCCACAACGCCTTCACACACACACCCCCACTCTGGTAGCCATGCCCTTCCCCAGCCTGTTTCTTGGGAAAGAAGGGAAAGCTTACACATACTCCAGCTCCTGGAGCCCCCACCTCCTTTATATCCTCACCAGAGGATATTTTTTCCCATTGATTTCTAGAGAGAGTGGAAGCGAGAGAGGAGGGAGGGAGAGGGAGAGAGAGAGAAACATTGAAGTGAGAGAGACACATAGATTGGTTGCCTTCTGCATATGTCCTGAACTGGGACCGGGAACCTGCAACCGAGGTACGTGCCCTTGACAGGGAATCGAACCCTCAACCTTTTGGCCTGTGGGCGGATGTTCTAACCACTGAGCCAAACCGGCCAGGGCAAGCCCCCACCTCTTTAGAATTAAGGTTTTCCCATAGTCTGTCTAATTGAAATCTGTCCACTTCTTCTCTTGTTCTCTAGTCATCAGGGGCTGCCAGGACTCTTTCCTGCCCCAAGCCCATCGCCCATCCGGATGGAGAGACATCAGACAGCCTGCTGACTCTTCTGTCACACAGGCCAATGTGTGCCCAGAGCAACTTAGTCGACCTCTTTGGGCCTTGGGTTCCCCAGCTCTACAATGGGGAGACTCCTAGAAGCTACCTCCTGGGTGTTGTGAAGGTTGAAAACAACACTGCCTATGAAATTCTTAGCATCAGGCCTGGCTCTCAGCAGGTGCTGAGGACATGGTGGTGGAGAGAGAGGTGGCAGAGTGTGGTGGAAAGACTCCAGAGCTGGACTGTCTGGGTTCAAAGTCCCCTCCACTACTCCCAGCTGAGTGACCTTGGGTTTAACCTTCCTGTGCTCCTGTTTCTTCATCCCTAAAATGAGGACTGTAATGGAGCCTAGGCACTGTTTGGTTGTGAGACATCTAGAGCTCACCTAATAGTTCTCCGGCTAAATAAATGTTTGCCCAAATTCATAGTATTGTTCATTGTTGTTACTGTTATCTGCCCCCACTAGAGCACTGCTGCCCTTTAGGCTTTGCTCCACCCAGGCTTGCTGATGGCAGAGGTTGGCAGAGGTGAGCAGAACCAGACTGGAGACCCTGGAACTGGGAATCTCGGCTCAGGGCAGGCCCACAGCCTCCACTTCCTCAGTGTTCCCACCTCTGGCATCCCCTTAGATTCTGGTTTGGGCACAGTCAGGGGGCACAACCCTCTGCCTCTTTGAGTCAATGGTCCTGCAAAGCAGCCAGCCTCCTCCCTCCACCCAGGTCCTGACTACCTCCTGGAAATAAAGCAGGGTCCCCCGGGCCCACTCACGCCGGGGACTGCTCTGCCAGGGTGCCAGCTGGTGCCCATGGGGGCGGGGCAGCAGTTTGATCATGTGGAAAGGGAAAGCTGGAGGCACCCCCAGCCTTGGTGGCCCCCACCAGAGACAAGAAAGGACTGGGGCACCCAGGACATTCTAGTAACTTCCTTCCCCTTGGGACAAGCAGGGGTGAGAGCTAAACTTGGCCCGCCCGGGGCCTCAGTTTACTCAGCCATCCTGCAGGTGGAGTTTTCGTTTCTATTTCCCTGCTCCCCCCTTCCCCAAGGCCTGGGCATGGGCCTCTCACAGCTCCTTGCTCCCTTTCCTTTCTTAAAGAAACCGACCTTGGCCTCCTCCTACCCGCCGAATTCTCTCCCTAGAAGCCACACAGAAGGACACTTAGCCCAGGAGGGGCCGGGTGCAAGCCAACCCCAGGCTGGAGACCGCCTCAGCGGGGTTTGGGGCCGCTTCTCAAGTCCGCCCAAGGCCCCGCCCCG